GGCAAGGAAGCGGCGCGGTGGGGATTCGAAGCCGCGGCTCTCGGCGCCCCGGCCTCCCCTCGGCCGCCATCTTGGAAGAGGGCAGAGGAAGCCGACGCTCCGGCCCCGAGGATTCGCCGGACTTTTCTCTCGGCGATGATTCGGTTATCGCGAGGCTCCATATTCGTCGGGGAGTTTCGGGGTGTGAATAAACGCCTTGCTTGTTTCGCAAAGAGGCCAAGAGAAGACGCGTTTTGCATCCCGATTGGATAAAAACCGTGCATATATTATCGCGGGCTGAATGGGAAAGCGGTCGCTGGTGTCGAAGAATCCAATTAGTTGCTTTGGATTTGCAGCTCTGTTGCACTGAAGGTCTATTCTGCATTAACCCAGTGTTAGGAGATAGCAAAGACGGCCGAAGCTCCTACAAGCCCCCTTTCCTCGCTGTAACCTAGAGGCTTGCTGTTCCCTGAGGTTTAAATAGCGCTGGGGCGGTGGTTCACTTCGTGTTGTATGAAAGGAGAGAAGGTTAGCACTCCCCTTGATAAGGATGGAAGAGGCCCTCGCGGCCTGTGCAACACGCATATGGTTAAGGCGCTGCCACTTACTTCGTGGCATCTAACCAGTTTTGGGGCAGAGGGCAGCACAGCCTGCTAACCTCTCGCTGAGGGCTCTACTCCTTGCTTTTGCTGCAGCTGGCCATACTTGCCCTCTGCGAATCTCCACCCCCTTCGGACAATCCTGCCAGAGGGCACTCCGTTAAGCAGCGGGCATCTCACTTAAGTGCTTGCTCTCCTTTAACAGAGCTCCCCCTTCTCTGAAGTAGCTAAACAGAACCGTGTGACCATGGCAGCTTTTTGAATTGGCAACCAAGGCCACCCCTTTGGTTGGGATCCATTATTGCCACGCTAAAACCGGCCAGGTGGCACCTCTGGAAAATTAAGCAGGGTCAGACCCTGTGAGGGCTCAGATCGGAGACTACCAGGAGATCCTAGGGCCGCAGGCTAGAGCGGCAAGTTATCAGAAGAGAAACCCTAAAAGGAAATCGCTGCCAAGGAGGCTACCGCAGAGGTGTCTGGGGATCCTTAAAAATGAACTGGGGGGGAGCGCGCGTCCTGCCGCTTGCTTTGGGTTCCTAGCTGTGCTTCTCAATCCCCTTCTCTTGCGGGCGCCGAGCCTCAGCCCAAGCCTGGCTGACTGGCCCCGATGCCCTGCTCCCGGTTACTCCTGGAATCTGCCCTCCCCACAGTGCTGGACTCTCCCGGCCGAAGGTGCTCTTGAGAGGCAGTGCTCCGAACCAGGCTGCAGTGGAAACGTCTCGTCTCGCACCCATCCCGTTGAGAGGCCCAAAAAGCCTCAGCACGCACTTCAGGCAGCGCCAGCCCCCCCACGCCCCCACCCTGGGGGGCTCTGCAACAGTCCTCCAAGTGGGGCAGCCACCTTGACCCGCCACCTGCCCTCGGGAACACCCCGGGCTCCTTCTTGGCCAAAGTTCCTGGAGCAACGGGAGTTTGCAAGGGGAAGAGAAGAGGCTAGCCCCCTGGGCGGCTGGAGTCCCAACCAGGGGGGCCTGACCCTCCCCGGGCACGCTCCATTGATGCCTTGTTTGTCTGAAGCAAGCTACAGGCGTCCCAGGTAACACTGCCTTGAATGCCACCCTCCAAACACACACACGCCAGCCAGCTGATCCTGCTGTCAACCACATTAAATCCCATTTTTTATTCTGTCATATGGTCACTGTCTCGGATGTGTAAGATATCAAGAGCGCCATAAAAGAAAGGAAAAGGATGAAAAAGTGTCAACGCCAGAAAAGATACAGTCATACTATTAGCAATACAAGTTCATACAGAGAAATTTTCCAGATAAAAAAACTTTTTACACTGAAGTAACTGTACACATATTGTGAAATTTGCCAGAATGGTTTTAAAAAGTAGAAACAAAAAAAAGGGTCACAAGAGCTGGTTCTTTTTTCCAGGGGGGCAGCTAAGAGGGGAAAAGCCTTGAAGATTTTCACCGCAATAGCATCTATCAGAGCGCACAACACGGAGGAAAGGGCTCTTGAAACTGGGTAGAAGCGGGACAACACAATACACACTCATTTGGTCGCATTAAAAATATCCTTTTGTCTTTCGTGATGAGGCATATTGTTAACCGCTGAGCTCTTCCATTTAAGGGTCACTGAGCTAGGGCTTAAATAAGAACTTTAAAAAGATCCACCTTATTTCTAGCTGTGGGGGACGGGACACCCTCCCCCTCCAGGCACAGGGCAACTGCTTCCTCTGAGCAAAACCAGGGAGGGGCCCAACAAAAGGAACAGGCAAAAGAAAAGGAAGCTTCTGTTCTCCGCCAAGCGACGCTGCACCTTCCCTCTTAAAAATCACTCCGGGTTTCCTGCTAATGCGGCTGAAATGTGGGTTTTTTTCCTTTTTTAAAAAAACACAAACACGAAATACCCTCCCATTTTATGGACACCACCCCAACAGTCTCCACGTGATGTCGGTGCCAAAAGCGTTTAACAGTCACTCTTCCAAAGTTTAATGGTCTTGTCATTCTCTAGGGCTGCAGAGGCGATGATGTTTTCGGTCGGATGGCAAGCTGTGGAGATCACGACGTCTGTTTGGAAAAAGGGACCGAGACGCCATTACCAACCAGCACGAGAGTGTCTGGGCCCAGCACCGGAAGCCCACTTCAGGTTGCCAACCCAAGCGCCGCTCTGCTCCAAGGAGCCTCAAAGGACAGGCCTCACCCACTTCCACCTCAGCAGAGGCTGCCATTTGCCAAGAAGGTCCGTGACCCCGTGGGCTAAAAGAATTCTGGGCATGGCCTTGGCCCGTTCGCTGGCATACAAACGGCTGCCGTCAGCCTCCCTGCTGCAGCCAAAGGCCACGGTGGCAAAGAACCGCCGCACGCTCGACGCCTGACTGCGGCCTGGCAGGGCAGGGCGGGGCGGGCAAAGCTCTCCCTGCGTCGTGCAGCAGAAGGGGGCCAACCTGCAGGAGCCGCTCCCCATTCTCTGCCTGGCCAGGGGGCTGGAAGGGGGGCTCCGACCGCCCCCAAGATGGCGGGAGCCGGCCAGGACCAGCGGCTGCAGCTGGACAGGAGGCAGGTGGGCTACCTTCATGGCTGGGTTCTTACATTCCTAGTGAATGGCAGTGCATGGCACAATCTCTTCACTTTTTTATTAACAGTTACATAATCGTAACGCTTGCATCGTGATCATGTGCAAGCCACTCTGGATGCGGTTACCGTGGAGATGTGCTCAAGAGGAGCCTGAGGCAGTGGGAGGGCACAACTACTCTAAGCAGGAGTCCCCAATATTCCCGTCCAGGCCAGGGAGACCCCTTCGACTGTTTGTGGCTTCATGGCAGGGACAATCGCTGCCCCAGGACCCGAGCCCAGTTAACGCCCTGCATCCTTCCCTCTAGGCTGGAACGAGGATTCCTCCTTTGGGGGGTCTCTCAGCAGGTGGGAGGGAATCCTGAGGGCAAACAGCGGGAGAGAAGCCGGAGGCAGCGGGCCGGAACGCCGGATTGGGGCCTTACAGTTCCAGGCTAAGGCAGCAGGTCCAAAGGGGCCTCCTTAAAGATGTTCTGGGCGTGAAGCTGGAAGCGCTTGGACGTTAAGCTCTCCCCAAAGCTCCAGCTTTCCAGGCCACCCCCTTAGCAAAGCTGACAGCATGCGAGGGGGCTCTCACACAGCCCCGAAAGGCAGCTGCATCGCATCCCCCTTAAGGTGGCTTCCAAGCCAGAGCGTTCAGCTTACACATTTGGCTGCCTCTCCAACATCTGGGCTTTGCCCAAAGCGCCCCAAGAGAGCCTACCTGTGTGCCCTTGCAGCTTCTGTACAATCTCTTTTGTTTGGAGGTTCCAAATGTAAACTAGGTTGTCCTCCGAACCCGATACGATCCACTAAAGAAAAGAAATGCATTCAGAACAGGAGGACGGAGCATGCATGGGCCCAGCGACCGCAGGTCCAATGGCAAGGGCCGCTTCCCACTCTGCTCCGTACATCACCAAGGCTTTCCCCTGCTTCACCACTCCTACCGGCCACCCCTCCCGCCCCTAGGTGGTTTTCTAAAGCATCAAGACCTCCATTTCTTCTCATCTGGGGGGACGCACATCACAAGGGGGGAAGCAGCCTCCTGCCTCACAGTCGACACTCTGCAAGTCCTCGGCAACCACAGGCGCTCCTTGCCCGCCCATTTCTTTAAAAGGCAAGTCTTCCAGGTCAGACCCAGTGCCAAACCCTAGATGCTGCTCCCTCGAAAGGAGCTGTGGCTGCCTTGCCTTCACCCAGGCCCTGCCTCTGAACTTGCACACTGTTCTGCACTGTTGCTCAGGCAGGATTTGGACTGATGGGAAACGCACCGGGTCCTCTTGTACATCTGGGCTGTGTAACCGCTCAGAAAAGAGATTCTCACCTTTCCGCCAGTAACAGAAAAGTTGGCAAAGATGCAATACTTCTCATTCTTGTGGCCCGTGTAGGTCTTGAGGCACTGGAAAACAGAAGGCCACAGAACAACCTATCACATCCCAGCAGTAGAGCCAAGATAGGGCAAGACTGCTGGCACAGAGGGTGGGGGTGGGGTTGGCTCCCACTTGAAAAGCTGCAGACTTTCCCCAAAGATTGGTCTCTGGACAAAGAGGGAACTTCTGCTCCAGATATATCGGCTGCACCCTTCCCAACTCTGTGGTCACACATGATAGGTTTTAATGGTCTGAGAATATTCAGAAACTGGACTTTGGAAGTTATTTGTCAAACAGAAGGGGGCTACTGCATCAGTTTCAAATTACTGTTGAACTGAGCTTCTACTGTGGGAGGACAGTAAGAAATAAAGCTAACAGTACGTATGGTTAGTCTAAGACTTCTTAATGCACTTGTCACACTGAAGGCAGTGCCATCTGTTTCTGTATAAACACACGAGGGTTTTAAACTAACCAACCATTCTATGGGTTCATTGGAGGATCTTCTGGATTCAGCTGATTTTTTAAGGGAAACACAGGAACTCACCTTCCCTTTGCTGTAGTCCCAAAGCTTTAGAGTGCTGGAGGGAAGGATGGGGGGGAAAGATCTGGTTAGAGAGGCCCACAGAATGATCCAACACGTCTTTCTTTTCCCACCACAACCATCTACTGGCCTTCAGGTTTCTTAGGGCCCCCATCTTCCCTTCGCTCCCCACTTTTGCCTTCTTGCCCGTCTCCACCTGTTCTTTCACACCATCTGTTTTTCCCCTCCTTGAAAGAGTTTTAGAACCACACCTGAATATTTATCTTTTGGAGTTTATTCTTTACTTAACCACTTCTCTGTTTGGAGGATCCTAGGCTACTTCTAAATTTGGAGCCTAAATAAGAGCTGTTATAAAAATACAGGGGGGAATAAACTCTGTAGGGCTCACTGAATTGCCTGAGGGAAGAATGAGATAATTGCAAACAGAATTAAAGCATTTTAAGAGAATAATTAAAACCAGGAACTCCCAATCAGTATTTCTGCAAGGTGCTAACACTGAGACTACAATACTGTTGACCAGTGTTTCCCACCCTTGGCAACCTCCTGATGTGTAGTCTTCAGTACCCAGAATTCCCCAGCCAGTGTGGCCATTGCTGAGAATTCTGGGAGTTGAAGTCCATACAT